GTATTTAAAAGGAAGAGACTGTCAGATATTGAGATCTCGGGGGGGGGGGGAGATTATCCTCGAGCTCAGGGGTGTCGAACTCATTTGTTATGAGGGCCAGATTTGGCATAAATGAGACCTTGTTGGGCCGGGCCATGTGTGCCATAAAACGTAATGCCAGGCAGCGGAGATATAAACTTTATAAAGGACACAAACGCAAAGGGGTTTTTTTTTTACCTTAAAATAAAAACATGCTTAAAACGTTAGCACTCTTGCAATATTTTGTTTATTTAACAATGTCTGATAACTGACACCTCTTGCTCTGAATTATTGCATCAAAATGTCTGTGCTGCTGCAATCTTGAGTATGCTGCTCAGGTGTGTATCTGTAAGCTGCAAGCCTATGGTGACGCAGCAGAACTGGAAGAAGAAGCAGAAGACCGGCAGTTCCACTGCGGGCCTGATAGAAGCCCTCCGGGGGCGTGATCCGTCCCTTGGGCCGCATGTTTGACACCCCTGCTTGAGTCGATTATATAGTTGAGTGACGAAGAGCCGATATGGTGAAGTGGTTCAGGTATCGAACTAGGAGATTCAGCTTTGAATCTCTACATGGCCACGAGGCCGACCTGCTTCACAGCCGACCTGCTTCACAGCCGACCTGCTTCACAGAATTATTGTAAGGATAAAATGGAGGAGAGGAGTGGTATGTAGGCCCCCTTCAGCTCCTTGAAGGACAGGTAGGATAAATGTATGATAGCCAAAGAAGTCTGAAGCGAAGGCTGAGATTGCGATTTGGAGGACTAAGTGCATAGTCGGATGAAGATCTAATACTTACGTCCCCCGCACTGTTACCTTTGAGGGCTGAATCCTGTCCCCCTCACCTCACCAACCCCTCTAAGCATAATCTTGAGATGAAACAGAAAACAGATGCGGCCAAAAAGATTGTAATAATGGGTGGTTACAGTTACCATCACACTGGTTGTTCTGTAACGTGATATCAGTCATAGAAAGGGCCCGTGTGGCTCCGTACAAGATCTAAGTGTGGTCGAGCCACTTAGAACAATGACCAGCTCCAGCAACTTGAACACCTATACATGGAAAGTTTGCCCAGAAAGTCCAGTGATCTCATATTTGGTTTCAAAAGAGGAAGTCTCTCTAAAATGAGGAGATTTGTTAGAAGGAAGCTGAAAGGGACGGTCAGGACAGAGCATTCTGTGGAATAAATGTGGTTTGTGGAACCGGCTTTCAGTCGCTGAAGCTCAGAATGCATAGTGGGAACTAGAAAAGGGTACAACTGTTCAGGATTTTTCTAGCCTGGTTGCCAATCACAGAGGTAAGTCCCCAGGATGGAGGACTAAACAAACGTAAGTTGGCATTAAGGCAGTCAGGAGCTGGAGGATCCTATTACTAAGAACATCAATATAAACAATAAAACTGCTGGGTTTGAATGGAATGCAGTTTGGTGTAGTGGTTAAGTGCGCGGACTCTAATCTGGGAGAACCAGGTTTGATTCCCCACTCCTCCACTTGCAGCTGTTGGATGGCCTTGGGCAAGCCATAGTTCCGGCACAGGTGTTCTTGAAAAAGAGCAGTTTCTGTCAGAGCTCTCTCAGCCCCACCTACCTCACAGGGTGTCTGTTGTGGGGAGGGGAGTTTGTAAGCCGCTCTGAGACTCCTTCGGGTAGTGAAGGGCGGGGTATAAATCCAAAGGGAAAAAAAAAATGCCCAAAGAACTCAGATGTAAAATTGCTGACCGTATAACAACAACAACAACAACTAAAATACAGCTTTTCACCCAAAGCAGCTTTTGTTAACCCAGCTGGACAGTTGCCAACCGGGAAGTCACAGATCAGTAATCCTAACATCTGTTCTCAGTGAATTGGTGGAAAGCATTATCGAAGGTGGAATTGTGAAGGATATTGTAGAAGGATATTGTAGAACGTGGCTTGCCAAGATAAAAAAAATCCACTGAACTTCTGTGCACAGTGTTACTTGGATGAAAATGGTTTCAAGCGATCTAAATAGGACTAGTAGCATATTTAGATATGGGGTTGAATCTGTCCAAGTTGGAAGGGTTGGGGGTAACTTCCACAAATTCCCTCTTCCTGCGGGAGTGGCTCAGTTTGTCTCTCACGCTGGTGACCTGTCCTTCAGGGGCAGCGTTCGGGGACAGTAGAGTAAACAGAAAAACCAGATGTGTTTTTACCATGGTTAGACCAATGTGAAGAGATGAACAACTTTGGGATCTGCTTGTGGGAGGATCAAAACTGATAAGGACTCCGCTGCTTCAGGGTAAGAAGGCTTTGGTCGTTACGGATCACTTTAGCCTGCTGAAGTAATAATTTAAACTGCTTTTCCGAGTTTTCCCTCCTCAACTTAATATCAGGATTACTAAGTAAGGTGACCTTGCTGTAATTTTTTATATGGTTTTTTTTTTTTCTGTCAGAGGAAACGAGAAGTTGAACTGAAAGCAAATGCGTTTGCCTGAGAGGGAGGCTGCAAAATCTGTCAATAGCATTAAAGAGCAAACGCTCAGTCAACTATAGCTCCGTGTGTTATACTTTTGTGCATATAGGAGTGTTTCTAAAGGGAGGAGGGTATTATTTTGAAATCAGAGTTTTGGAAGGCTGGTACAATGTTCTGTTTTGATGGGGGGAAACACCTCCCTGAGGAAAGACCGTTGCTTGTGTTTGGAGAAACTCAGCAGTCAGCTAATGACACTTGAAGGAAGAAGAAAAGGACTTCTGTAATTTCAGTGTAAATTTAGGTAGCCGATCTCTTTGATAGAGTCATTTAAGTAAAGAGGCTACCAGTGTAGGGTTGTACTTTAAGTGGTCCTACAGGTAGGTGAAGTATTTTGTCTGTCTCTTTTGGCTGTTTCACGATAATGTTATTGGCTGCTTAAGGTTAAAGTGCAAAAGGGTAAACCTAAGTTTTTTCACAGTAAATCTGGTTTAGTT